CAATTTTACGTAAACATGAAGCATTTTTCTCACCCGGGCACGGTTCATTTACGAAAGGTACGGCTAAACTCGAATTAAAAGAAGGTAGTAAGCCAATATATATGCTTCCGCGCACTATCCCATTAGCATTGAAAAAGGATGTAGAAAATGAAATAGATAGATTAGTTGGACTTGGGAAATTAGTTCCGGTGGATAATAGCGAGTGGGCTACGCCTATCGTACCCATTTTGAAACCAAATGGCAAATTACGAATGTGCGCGGACTTTAAAGTAACCGTAAATCCCCAACTAGTAACTATGCGATATTCAGCACCTAACTTTGATCATGCCATTGCTAAATTGCAAGGTGGGGCTAAATATACGAAAATTGATTGTGCAGACGCATATTTGCAGGTACCGGTCGACGAAGAATCGCAAAAATTGTTAACAATTAACACACATAAAGGCCTGTACCGTTATAAATATTTAGTTTTTGGCATTAGCTCAGCCCCAGGTATTTTTCAAAAATTTATGGAAGAAGCACTAAAAAATATACCTAAAGTAGCGATAGTAGCAGACGATATAGTAGTCACCGGCGATACGCCGAAAGAACACTTAGAAATTCTTGATAGAGTATTAACGATTTTAACAAAATGCGGTCTTAAAGCTCGCGCGGAAAAATGTGATTTCTATAAAGATAAAGTAACGTATCTGGGATACGAAATTAGTCAAAAAATAATTGGAATCGATTCAAAGAAATATCAAGCTATTGTCGAAAGGAAAACACCTACCTAATATTCATAATTTTTTATTATCACCAGCACCAAGGTTATCGTTACTATAATTATTCTGATTATCATTATTTTAATAATGATCTTCATAACTCATATTGATATTATCTTGAAAATAAGTGTTACGAGTATCATCATCTTCATATATATTTATATTTTTACCATAATCATTTCATCATCAGTATCATTATCATTATTATCATGATGTCTACCACTTTTATTATCTGCGACATTATCCTTGTCATCATCACTTTTATGATCTTTACTATAATCGTTATTAAAATTATCATCATTATTCTTATGATCAGTAGCATTAAAAAAATGAGAAACTTGATTTTCTTTAAAGTCTTTAATAATATAATTCTTATCATCACTGCCAATATTATTTATATTTATATATTCATTGTCATTGATGTCATCATTATGATCATCGTTAATATGATAAGTATTATTATTATTATAACTATAGTTAGTAATNACTTGAGCAACGAGCAAAACCCTTTATATGTACGACGTTCAACGCGTCAGTCTAAAGCTGTTCAACGTTACTGCGCTAACGTTAGATCTGTAAATAATGTACATATCTAAATAAAGTTTGAAATCTTTCTAAGCATTAAAAATTAAATAAAAGGGGAAGGATGTAGTGTATGTGATCCTGCGTATATGTTAGCCTCGCTTTGAACGCTTTGCTATATATATATATGTATTACAGCGCCTGAAATAAAGCCAGTCTATCCTCACAGCTCCTTGAGTGTACACGTCATTTATTGAACCCTGCCTCACATATAATACAATGGTGACGAGGATATAGGAGCCGAAATACGTGCACGCAACAAGTAAAGCAGTGAAAAGCAGTAAATAATTAAAATTGCTCAACCAAAATTTAAGTATACGGTAATTTTTTTCTTAAAGTACACGGGTATACGCATAAAAAGCGCTACGTAATTTCAAACGTCGCAATCGATTTCTCGGGCAAATGAGTCAAGAAATTCAAGTAAAAGGAACGACGTGGATACAAGGTTTAAATAAAGACCAACTTGTCGCACTCTGCATAGAAAACGATATCGAATCGTCATCAGATAAAGTAGACGAGTTACGAGCATTATTACGCGAATTCGTTAAAAATAAATTAGATCAAAATAATACCACTACAATAAAAGGATTAAAAACGACTCAAAGTAATGAAAATATAACGGGAACAAATACAAGTGAGGTACAAAGTGAAAACGGTGCGATAAGTGTAATAAAGAAAATGGAAGTAACCGGCAACTTGGATTTTGATATCAAAAAAGACGATTGGGAGCAGTACGTAGATAGAATGGAACAATTTTTCATAGCAAACGACGTAACAGACACGAGTAAGCAACGGGCAATCCTTTTAAGTAAAGTTGGAGCAGAAATGTATGACGTCATTGCCAAAGTATGTAAGCCACATAAGCCAGGTGCTAAAAGTTACGACGAAATTATTAAACTGGTAAAGAAGCATTTAAAGCCGCAAGCATCTCATCTGGCTTACCGCTCCAATTTCGGCCAACGAGTGCAAAAAGATAACGAAAGTATAAGTGATTACGTGGCTGAGTTAAAAGATTTAGCGAACGATTGCAAATTCAATAATTTGGAAGATCAAGTATTAGATCAATTGATAAGTGGTTTGAAGAATAAAAGTGTAGTAGCCGAGCTGCTAAAAATAGATGAACCAACACTAGAAGTAGCTCTAAAAAAAGCATTAGCCACAGAAGCAGCAAACAAAGGAGCCGAAAAATTGCAAGAAGCCAGCAGCAAGAAATTTAATGATGAATTCCACAAGTTAAATATAGCGTCGAAGAATTCCCGTGGCAACAGAGGCGGATTTGGGCGAGGCAAAGATAACAAACAGTATCGAGGCAGGAGTAGAGAACAAGGACAGCAATATCAACATCAGAGTGGACAAACATCATCAGGAGCAATGCAGAGGCCTGCGTTGAAACCAGCTACACATGCAGGGTATACGATGGATTGCTATTGTTGTGGTAAGCCAGGTCATTACGTGCGAGAATGTCATTATAAAAAGGCTACATGTAATATTTGTAAACGAACGGGTCATCTGAGCCGCGTATACTTCGAGCAAAGACTACACAAATCAAACGATCGCAAAAACACGCGTGTAGGTTTTCTTAGTGCGAATGAGGAAAATAGCGATAGTGATAGCAGCGTCAACTCAGAGATACGTAAAATGTTTTCTTCCGAAAAGCGCGACGCACATAACTTAAAATTACATACTCCAGCAGATTCGCGAACGTTCCATTATTTGAACCTTTATATTCCCGGTAAAACCCGTGTAGAGCCGCAATATTTACAAGTTAGGATTATGGATTAAGTCATTTCGATGGAAATTGATTCGGGAGCGGCAATGTCAATTATCACGTTAGATCTTAAAGATAAATATTTTGCTAATATTGAAATGTTTAAAGCTGATATCACTTTGATGAATCACGATGAGTCTCTGTACGAACCCGTAGGTATGCTAAAGCGCGTTAAAGTAGAAGCAAACGGCAATACAATTTGGACTGATGTTTACGTTACTAAATCAAAAGGCCCAGCTATCATAGGTCGCCCATGGTTAAAAGCTTTGGGAATGTGGCCGTTATACAAAAATTTAAAAATAAATTCAATGGAAACAGAAGCAAGTATTACGGAAAAATTAAAGGCAATTTTACATAAACATGAAGCATTTTTCTCACCCGGGCACGGTTCATTTACGAAAGGTACGGTTAAACTCGAATCAAAAGAAAGTAGTAAGCCAATATATATGCTTCCGCGCACTATCCCATTAGCATTGAAAAAGGATGTAGAAAATGAAATAGATAGATTAGTTGGACTTGGGAAATCAGTTCCGGTGGATAAGAGCGAGTGGGCTACGCCTATCGTACCCATTTTGAAACCAAATGGCAAATTACGAATGTGCGCGGACTTTAAAGTAACCGTAAATCCCCAACTAGTAACTATGCGATATTCAGCACCTAATTTTGATCATGCCATTGCTAAATTGCAAGGTGGGGCTAAATATACGAAAACTGATTGTACAGATGCATATTTGCAGGTACCGGTCGACGAAGAGTCGCAAAAATTGTTAACAATTAACACACATAAAGGCCTGTACCGTTATAAATTTTCAGATTTTGGCATTAGCTCAGCCCCAGGTATTTTTCAAAAATTAATGGAAGAAGCACTAAAAAATATACCTAAAGTAGCGATAGTAGCAGATGATATAGTAGTCACTGGCGATACGCCGAAAGAACACTTAGAAATTCTTGATAGAGTATTAACGATTTTAACAAAATGCGGTCTTAAAGCTCGCGCGGAAAAATGTGATTTCTATAAGGATAAAGTAACGTATCTGGGATACGAAATTAGTCAAAAAAGAATTGGAATCGATTCAAGGAAATATCAAGCTATTGTCGAAATGAAAACACCTACATGTAAAAAAGAAGTACAATTATTACTAGGAAAAATTAACTATTACAATAGATTATTTGAAAAACGTGCAGAAATTTCAGTGCCATTATAATACTGCAATAATAACGATGAATTTGTTTGGAATGAAGCGTGTAAAATAGCTTTTGAATAAGTAAAACTGGCATTGAAACAAAGCGTTGTAAATTACGACCCGAATTTACCACTCATATTAACCTGCGACGCGTCACCACAAGGTCTAGCAGCTTTCATCAGTCAACCATATAGCGATGGTGACAAACCGATTGCATTTGCTTCGAGGCGCTTAACAAAAGCTCAAGAAAATTACTCACAAATTGATCGGGAGGCAGCAGCAATTATATTTGGTGTAAATAGGTTTTTATGATTACTTATACGCGAGAGAATTTACATTGAGAACGGATAACAAACCTTTGTCCAGAATTTTTGGCCCAGAAAAAGGTATTCCTCGTATGGCGGCAAGCCGATTGCAAAATTGGGCATATTTTCTAAGCGCATTCAATTATAAAATTGAATGTATACGCACAAACGATAATGTAGTTGCTGATGTCCTCTCGAGATTGCCCAGTGAAAATATCACCGACGATAAAAACATTAATAAATTTTCTGATTTAAATCATGAATGCACTTATCTACACTATGCTGTACACACTAATATTGTAAATTTTGATTATAAAACAGTAGCGCGCGAAACGGTAAACGATAAACTTCTGTCTATTGTGAAGCGATTTGTCGAAGAAGAATGGATTGAAACCAAAAATAAAAACCGGAGCGATGAACTCAAACCTTTTGCTTTATGTAAATACGAGTTAAGTCTCGAACGTGGCTGTCTGATGTGGGGATAACGAGTTGTAATTCCCTCTAAGTTACAAAACTATGTAATAGATAAATTACACGAGACTCACTTTGGTATTGTAAGAATGAAAGCTTTGGCAAGGTCGGTCGTGTGGTGGCCTAACATCGATAAAATGTTAGAAGAAAAAGCAAAGTTATGTAGGCACTGCGCTCAAGTAGCAGATAACCCTAAAAAAATGACATTAACTCCGTGGCCGCGACCTGATCGGCCTTGGCAGAGACTTCATGTAGACTTCGCAGGACCTTTTTTAGGTTACAATTATTTCTTATTAATAGATGCATTTTCAAAATGGCCGGAAATTTATACAATGACAAAGACATCAGCAAACGCAACAATAAGAATATTTAAAAATATTTTCGCAACTCACGGATTACCTAAAACTATAGTTACTGACAACGGCAGACAATTCGATAGCGAAGAATGCCAAACTTTTTTCAAACAATTGGGAATTAAACACATATTCACAGCACCGTATCAGCCGGCAACTAACGGAGCCGCAGAAAATCTAGTAAAAACATTTAAACGCAAAATTAAAGCGATGGTCAACAGAGAAAACGTTAGTGTTGAAACGGCGATTGAAAGATTTTGATTTGCATACAGAAGCTCAAAGCATACTATTACTGGTGAGTCACCGGCAAAATTGCTATTTAATCGCGAATTACGAACACCTCTCCAATTATTGCGTCCAGATATAAACAACATTGTCACTGCCAAGCAAGAAATGCAAATTAAAAAATATATTGGTAACAGAACTGATAAATTTAACGTTGGTGACATAATAATAGCGAGAGATTTTCGTAAATACCACGATAAAATGTCGGAAGCAGAAATTGTAAAAGTTTTATCACCACATAACTATTTAATGAAGTTCAAAGAGGGGGAAGGTGTGCATAAGCGTCATGGTAATCAGTTAAGGGCTTGGGGCGAACAAAAATCCCAAGAAAATGTAAAAGTGGTGATCGACAAAAGCTCGACTGAAAACTGCGACTTGAGCAACGAGCAAAACTCTTTATATGTACGACGTTCAACGCGTCAGTCTAAAGCTGTTCAACGTTACTGCGCTAACGTTAGATCTGTAAATAATGTACATATCTAAATAAAGTTTGAAATCTTTCTAAGCATTAAAAATTAAATAAAAGGGGAAGGATGTAGTGTATGTGATCCTGCGTATATGTTAGCCTCGCTTTGAACGCTTTGCTATATATATATGTATTACAGCGCCTGAAATAAAGCCAGTCTATCCTCACAGCTCCTTGAGTGTAAACGTCATTTATTAAACCCTGCCTCACATATAATACAATCATTATCATCATCATCATCATCATCATCATCATCATCATCATGATCATCATCATCATCATTATCACTATCATCATAATCATTGTCGCCACTACTAGCAGGTTATCTCTTACTGTTATAATCATCATCATCATTATTGCTAACATCATAATTATCATGTATATTGTCATTGTTCCATTGATTATCGTTATCATTTGTGTTACTATCGTAATCTACATTGTTATTATTATTATTATTGACATCTTTATTATTATAACCATATCTATTGTGACAAACATTAGGAGCATCATAATAACGGAAAATATCATTATTATACAATCGCAATTATTTGTATCGTTGTGATTTTATCTTTGATGATAAATATTTTCGTTTATCGTGTTATAATTATTACCATTGATTTATATGAGCATTTTGATTATCAACAATATCACTATCCTATTTATAATTCCTGTCATCGTAATTATTTATATCATTATTATCACTATTTTTTCTATTATTATTACTATTACTGTCAATATCGCTGTAAATATCGATATTATTATTACTATTATTACAATCTCTTGTGTTGTCATCATGATTATCATCATTATCATCATTTTCGTTATTATTTTTATCAAAAACTTCATTATTATTGTAATTATTATTATCATTATGCTTATCATCATCATTTACATTATCATTGTTATTAACATCATCGTCATTACTATCATCATAATTATTATCGTTTTTTTCCATTGTCATATTTATTGTAATTGATATTTGTATTTTCTTTCGTTATAATTATAGTACTTATTAAAAATATCACATTTACTTTCATCATCGATATTTTCATTATTCATATTATAATTAACATCATCTTCATTATAATTAACATAACTACTAATATTATTGTTATTATGACATTTTTCACCATTATCACTATCTTAATCTCTACGACTATGATCATTATTAANAATGAAACGTAAGGATCAGCTCATTCAATTGTTAAGAGCTCATTAATATAAAAATTAGTATAATTGAATAACATTATTATCATTAAATTTATTATACTAATCTTTATTACGGTTGTTGCCCTTGTGTTTATTATTATTATTTAAATTAAGAGTAATATTATTATTATTATGATTGTCATCATCATTATCATTATCATAATTATCGTCATTTTAATTATCATTACCCTAATCATAATTATCGTTGTTGTCATTTTTATCAGTATTATCTTTACTACTATCGTAATCATTAAAATTATATTAATTTTTCTCATTGGCATCAGTATTGTAATCAACTTTTTGTTAATATTATTAACTTTCACATCACTTTTATTATCATGATTATCATTATTATTATTAATTTAATTATTATGATAAATATTATCAACTTTGTTGTCATAAATATTCTCATTCACTTTACAGTCATAAGTGTTATGATTCTTATTTTTGTTACCTCTATTACCATTAGGATAACAGTTATTATTTCTTTAATGATCATTGTCAAAACTATCAGGATTATCAAGAACATTATTTTTTTTTAACATTACAACTGTCATCATCGTTATTACTAAGATTATTATTGAAGTTATCAACATAATTATCTTCATCATTTTATCGAAATTTATTGTTGTTATCATCGTATCATCGTTATGATCATTACTTTCAACATCATCACAATTATTTGAATCATCGTAATCATTGTTGTTATTATTACTGTCGACATGAACATCATTATAACTATTTTTATTATTTTTGTCATTATTTTTTTTGTAACCATTATTGTTATTATAACCATTGCAAAGCTTATTATTATAATTATTGTTATTATTATTATTTTTTTTCTGAGGTTGTTCAGAATGCCCTTATGCACAACAAAAGGGTGTACCAACCCTTCCCTGTGTTGGACTCGTTATGACCATACCCACTTAACTGGCAAGACCTTTCTCCTGGGACACCTAGCTCGAAATCTGCTTTTACATTTACTCTTCAAGCCAGGACCTTAAAAGCTTAGCCCATCATTCGGGATTCCTGTAGTGTTTCGTTACCAACTTGTATTATAGCTTTTGTGTCTTGTAGGATATTCTCTAGTTTCCGTTATGCTTCTAAGCTGCTCTTTTCCTTTTTCTTGAAGGCTAAGAGAAAAATGATTAACAGATATTTCCTAGCGCAAGCAAAAACCCGGCCACCCCCAACAAAGGTGCAAGGAGTGCACTTAACACAGCACCGAAAGTGCAGAGATCTGGACCACCGACGTACAGCCACTCATCCGTAGAACAGTGATATAACTGAGTTGTTCTTAAGAGCCCGCATTCAAGCACCAACGCAAGCCCCTATATTGCACACCAATTGCCCCGTGACTACGTCCCAAAAGCCCAGCCAGGAGTAAAAAAAGAAAAAAAAAGGGCAACAGAAGTAAAGTACTCAAAAGCATGGGCCACCAGGCCGCAGCTGCTCATCCGTATAAAGGTGATAAAGTGAAGCGATTTAAGGGATTTTGGGCACGCTTAAACACCCACGCAGGCCCTTATTCCACACAACAACCACCTCGCGGCCACGCCCCAGCGGCCCCACCCCAAAAGCT